GTGCCCCTGAAGAGACAATTTAAGTAAAAACATTCAGGAGGTAAAAAAAAAACATGGCATAGTTTCTTGAAAACCTGTCATTCTTTTCTTATAGGAGTATTTTCAACATGAAAGTTTTCTTGGAACTCAAGTACATGGTTAACAAAGCAGGAGCCAGTGGTAGCTGGTAAGCCAGTTGGGATGGCAATAGTCAGCTTGTTATCTTGATAGAGTGAAATTGTGTGTGGATCTCTAAAATGGCACAGAATCTGTGGATCTCCTACCACAGAAGGCAAACCTGGGATATTTGGGAGAATGACCTCATATTACTCAGGGACAGAAATCAGGAGTGGGGAGAAGGGAAGGGAATTAAACCTGGTACAAGGTTTCTGCCCTGGAGATTAAGGTACCTTTTGCCATTAACAGCGATAAGAAAGTGAGATAAGAAAGAAGATTAGTTTGGACTTGAATAGGCCTCTGATTCCAGCATCCATTATTATTAAATATGGGTTGTGCTTGCTCTTTCTGAGGAAATGAGATGATGTGAAAGCACTTTGAAATTTGAAAAGGAAAGGACTAGATAATTATATTAATGATAACCTTTATCGTTGTTTTAATTAGATATTTTCTGCCAGGAGTTAGAATAAAGACTTAAAGTGAATTTGGGATCTAAGGGAATGAGACAACTGAGGAAGCAGGCATCAATGGTCAGCAAGACAGGTCAGCAAGTCTTTATGGTTGAGAGAGAAAACAGGGTTTATCCAAGAGTACTCTGTGAGAACTCCCACGAGAAGGCTGGGTAAGGTAGAAACCAAGACTGGAGGGGTTTTAGAAGCTGGGGATGTTCAGCATCATCAAATGCTACAGAAAGAGAGGCTGGGTAAGAAGAGAAATCATTAATTTGCATCAGATTTGGTAAGCTTGAGTAACTGGTTTTGGTGGGGGGTGGAGGTAGAACCCAGGCTCTGTATTTTGGAGGGGTGGGTGAGAATAGGCGTTAAGGTACTGGAAGAGAGGAAGTGATGGCCTAGGGTATCACCACAGCTGGAGTTACTTAACAGCAAAGGGAAGATAGCTTGATAAACTTTATACTATTATTCCAAAAAGGACTTAAGGGAAAAATAGGGGAAGAACATATGGAGGGTACAGGGAAGCTGGGGATGTGGAGAGAGAGGAGATTCTTGGGGAGCTGTGACAAAGAGTGACATTCAAAGTCTAAGTGGACGGAGTAATTTTACAGATTTGGTATAACTCTACTGAAGCTAAGAGGAACTCTCATCCAGTTTTCATAGCAGGTATTTCAGTTGTTCCCCTCCCCACTAACCTTCTCGCTTCTTTCTCTCTTGGACTCGGCCAGCAACACTCCACCTTGGAGTAAGTCTCCTCCTTCATCCTCTCCAATTCTATATAGGGGTCCTTGTGGATTGCTGGTGAAAATGATTCAATTTTTTTTTTTGCTTGCCAATCCCTAAGAAGCTTTAGAGAGCTTTGCCCACTCCCCTTTTTCTTTTTCAAAGCCTCCACCTCGACAACTTGCTCACAACAGAAGTCATACTTTAGAAAAGGCCTTTCTTTTTCTCTAAGAAAACTAAGGCTGTAAGGTAGGGAATTCCTTAACTTACTCTTTCATGTTCATGGCCCTCTGGCTCCTCAGTTTCCCTCTTCTTAGGAAAAGAACTACTGGCTCCAGTTTATTAAGGCTTTAGAGCTGATCCCCCAGCTCACCATCTTCACCTGTATCTTTAAGCCCATAAACTTGCTCACGCCTCTCCCATCTGAAAGTCAAACCAAACAAAAGCCCTTGCTGCCATCCTATCTTTTTCTCTTCACAGGCAAGCTTCCTGTGGAGATAAAGCTGATGAGCTCACTTCTCTTCTGATCTCCCAGTTCCCTCTCTAATCCGGTTTGTGCCCCTTATCATTCCACAATGAATGAGTCATCAGTTGGGCCCCAAGTGGACAAAACAAACTGGTACTTCCCTTCCTCCTTTGGCTTGTCCTCCCTGAGCCACTTGTTCTGGCTGTCCCTTCTTTTCTTGGCTTCTCCCCTAGGTCTCTCCTCTTTGCTATCAAATCTCAGCTCCCTTTGGGCTCTCATCCCCTAAATCTCTAGTGGCTGGGTTTATTCTGTACTGTTCTTCCCATGCTGTGTGCTTTCCCTGGGTGACCTTATCTGCAATCATACTTACTAGGGGCTTACTGAAAATTCACATGCCTCTAGCTCCTGTTCAGGCTTCTCTTTGGAGTTCTAGGCCTATAGGCCCAACTGCCCACTGGACACCTCCACCTCCCTCAGGTACCTCAGACTCACCCTCATCCCAACAGAATTCATGTCTTTTCAGCCAGGCATCTTCCCCTGGATTCTTTGTGAATATTGTCATCATCCAGGATCCCAGTCTCTTTTCCCTCATTCTAGTCAGTTGTCAATAATAGCAAGATGAAGAAATTTTTGTTCCCTAGATACTCAGGGAAGTTGAGGGATGCAGAATGGCTTAGTAGGACTGTATTCCCAAAGAGATTGAGGAGTTACATACATTGGGGAGAACCACGTGGTAGGAATGGCATTTAGGGAGCTGGCCCAGTGAGGGAAGGGTAGCTCTGGGTGATGCTCCCAATCCTGGGTAAATTAACAGAGCATCACCACGTGCTGAGGTATTTGGAGGTCTTGAAGAAAAAGGAATGAAGCTTGAATACACCCAAACAGATCTAAAAAGAAATACTTCAGAGAGGAATGGGGAGAGAGAGAAGCCTAACACAGTAAGATTCGGAAATGGGAGGGTCAGGTGTACTTAGATCTCTCAAGGGTGAAGATAGTGAGTGTGGGTTATAGATGCTCTATTTACAGGATCTACCTCTGTAATGTCTCCAACCCAATCCTCTCTCTTTTTTTTTTTAAATTTTATTTATTTATTCATGAGAGACAGAGAGAGAAGCAGGGACACAGGCAGGGGGAGAAGCAGGCTCCATGCAGGGAGCCTGCCGTGGGACTCGATTCCAGGACTCCAGGATCATGCTCCTGAGCCGAAGGCAGATGCCCAACCGCCAAGCCACCCAGGTGTCCCTAATCCTCTTCTTAGTATCCTCTAGGCAACTTGCTCACCCCCAAGTCTTGTTTAATTTTATTAAGCCATTGGCTCTTTCAATGTTTGTATGTCCAGGTAAAAAGTCATTGGTTTGTTACACAAGGTCCTGCGGGATGTGGTCTCTCTTTACTATCCAGCTCCATCTCCTGCTACTGACTACACATTCTTTTTGCTTCAGCCACATGAAAGTCCTTCCAGCCCTTTGAGAGCATCACACCTTGCTATAGCGGTTCCATGCACCTGTGCTTGGAATATCCTCTCACCCTTTCCTCTCTAAAGTCATCCATTCTCTCATTTCTACTTTTCTTTCAAGACTAAGCTCGAGTACCATTTCCCAGAAGCCTTTGACAACCCCAATCTGATTTTCTCTGGGCTTTCATGGCAGCTTAACACATAACATAAAGATACCCTTTACCAGATCTCACTGTAATCAGTTAACTTGTCTCTCTTCCTTAGTAGACTGGGTACTTTATGAAGGCAGATCTCAGAGTAGCTGGCTTTCTATCCCCAATATTTAGCTCATAAACAGCAGCTGATATTTCTAAATGAATAAATAAAAGTCATCAATCATGGAAGTTTTAAAGTTTAAGCAGTAGGATATTTAAACATTTATTTATTTTTTAAAGATTTTATTTATTCATGAGAGACACAGAGAGAAAGAGAGGCACAGAGACACACAGGCAGAGGGAGAAGCAGGCTCCATGCAGGGAGCCGGATGTGGGACTCGATCCCGTGGCTCCAGGATCACTCCCTGGGCTGAAGGCGGCGCTAAACCACTGAGCCACCCGGGTACTTAAACATTTAAACAGCAGTCCATTTAATTACCATTTCACATGCTGTTTATCTCGTTCCTGAAGGTGAGTACCGTAAAGCTGGCTTATTTGCCAGTGGGAAGACCTGGACATCTAAAAGTGCATCTTCCGGAGGTACCGTCAGCCCACAGATAGATCTTAAGCAGCCTGTTGGCTACAGAACCCACCAGATCAGAGTCCTTTTCCTGGACTTGACCTGTAGGGTACCTCTAGGCACTAAAAGAGGTATGCGGAGAGACATATTTAAGGCAATCTCTCTTTTGTCTTTAGGTTAAGGAGTGCACGGGGCATGTTGGTGCATGCGGGGGTGTGTGCGCGCGCGATGGATGCGGGAGGAAGGAAGGAGGCAATGTGTGCATCACTTCTTCAGAGCCGCCTTCTCTGACCTCGTTGACTAGGCGACGTTTGTCTCCCCACAGAGCACCTTATTCTTTTTTTTTTAATTTTTTTTATTAATTTTTATTTATTTATGATAGTCACAGAGAGAGAGAGAGAGAGAGAGAGGCAGAGACACAGGCAGAGGGAGAAGCAGGCTCCATGCACCGCGAGCCCGACGTGGGATTCGATCCCGGGTCTCCAGGATCGCGCCGTGGGCCAAAGGCAGGCGCCAAACCGCTGCGCCACCCAGGGATCCCCCAGAGCACCTTATTCTCCCTCTGTGCACCCATCACAGCTTTACCCGCTTTCGAGTGCTTAGTGCCCCCGCTAGACCGTAAACTGCTCGAGGTAAGGAACCTAATACGTTCGCCCGTGGACTCCCCTGTACCCCCCTGCCCGGCAGGGGGCCAGATTTCCCCCAGGAGGCCCCGACCAGCGTTTCTGGCCCCGAAGGCAGGTACCGACCACCCCCGGGCGGACTAGCTCCCCGCCCCGCGAGGGCCGGGCCCGGCGGGCGGCTAGGGCGCGGCGGGGCGCTGTCGCGCAGACGGTTCTCCGGCTCGCGTGGGCGCGGCCCGGGGCGGGGGCCAGCGGGCAGGGGGCGGCGCGACGCGTGGCCGCGGACCCGCCAATGAGCGTCGGGCGGGCGGGGCTCGGGGCGGACCGCCGGGGCGCGCGCGGGGCTGGGCGTGCCCACGGGTGACGCGCCGGGCCGGACCCGCCAATAGGCGCGCGCTGGCGGGCGGGCGGGCCTCGCGGCCGGGGGCTGGAGGACGCTCCCCGGAGGCCGGCCGGACAGACTGACGTTCCGCCTCAACGAGGGAAGCGCGTGGCGGGGATGGCGCTGGCGCGGGCCTGGAAGCAAATGTCCTGGTTCTACTACCAGTATCTGCTGGTCACGGCGCTCTACATGCTGGAGCCCTGGGAGCGGACTGTGTTCAGTATCCTGCCCAGGCCGCGGGCGCGGGCGCGGGGGCGGGCGCGGGCGCGGGGGCCGGGGCCGGGGCCGGGGCCGGGGCCGGGGCGGGGGAGCTGGAGCGCGGGCCGCATCCTCCCGGCCCAGGCGCCGGGGGCGGGGGGCGCGGCGCGGAGGTCGGGGGGCGAGCGGCTCCCGCGCGGCTCGGGAGGGGCGGGGGCCTGGGAGTCGCTGGAGCCGACGTGGAAGCGGCTCCACCGTTGGAGGAAATCCCCCAGGGCGATGTCTGACCAGGTACGTCCTCGCCTGCCTGCGCTGCGGCCGCGCCTGCCTTTGGCTCAGTCCCGTGGCCTCTGGGAGGCAGGGACCTTGTAAGTGGAGCGGACCGCTCCCGCCTGGGACGCCTTTGACCTTTAACTGTCCCTGAGTTTGCTGGCTTTGGTCCTCACGAGACTGCTAACCGGTTTGCCAGACCTTTCGTCGTGTGAACTTGTGTTTGTTACATCCCAATATCGTTTCTGAAAACTGTTGTACCTTTCTGGTTTGCAGGGGTGGGGAGTTTAAAAAGTGTGTTTTATTCATTAAGTGCTGTGTTTAGAGTCCGTAGAAGTCGAGCCCAGAAAGGAATTTGTGGTGAGTTGTAGAAAACGGTGTTTTAATAGATAGCTGATTGTTAATGACTATTGAGTGTTCCCTGTGAGCCAAGCAGCTGTGCTGAGTGCTTTATCTGTATCTTAACTCCTCTAACTTCGCAACAACCTCACTGAATGCGCAAGGTCGAGAAAGTAGGCTTTCTGAAGTCTGTGATGTTTGTGTCTTCATTTGTCTGTGTTGACATCCCTTGATACTGTTCTTGCAGGATACGTACTGATAATGAGCTGTAACTTTCTTTCTTCTTCTTCTTTTTTTTTTTTTTAAATTTGGGGACCAATATGAAACATATTTCACATAACATGCTTACTTCATACAAGATCTCCTTTTCTTACAATGAAGTACAGTTAACAGAGTGTTACTTTAGTTTTAGGTACGCAACAGCGATTTGACAACTCTGTATGTTATACCGCCTCCTTGTCAACGTGGTTTAGTTTGGAGTAGTTCAGAACAGCTTTGCAAATGCATTGTTGCATTCAGGTAGAGTGACTGAGATGGTTTCATTCCAGGCATTAATAAATGTGTTTATTTGTATTGAACTAGCCTGAGATTGCACTCAAAGCTGTCTTTTGTTTCAGTACTTTGGAGGAATCTTAAGCTGCTTATGAGGAAATTTATTTTTTATTGTTGTTTGTTCCAAAGCTTTCCAGAACTTTTTAAGAACCATAATTTATATTTTGGATATAAAGTCCGAAAGTAAAATGTGTTCTGATTTCCGGCTCCATTTATTTGTAGCTGCAGTTTAGTTTTATTCTAAGTTCTATAGGTCAGAGCTCATGAAGTCATCCTTGTAAAATGTATACTAAAATATGGAAGCACAAACTTGGGATCTCTGGGTGGCTCAGAGGTTTAGTGCCTGCCGTTGGCCCGGGGCGTGATCCTGGAGTCCAGGGATTGAGTCCCACATCGGGCTCCCTGCATGGAGCCTGCTTCTCCCTCTGCCTGTGTCTCTGCCTCTCTCTCTGTCTCTCATGAATAAATAAATAAAATCTTTAAAAGAAGAAAAACAACAAACTTCTTAACTCAGTTAAAATAATCTTTTTAAGGGATGAGGGAGGAATGGGCAGAAGGAGAAGGAGAGAGAATCTTAAGTAGGCTCCATGCCCATCGCAGAACCTGAGATCATGACCTGAGCTGAAATCAGGAGTTGGATGCTTAACAGACTGAGCCACCCAGGAGCCCCATCTTTTTTTTTTTTTTTCCTTGAAAGTTTATGTATTTATTTACTTAAGCAATCTAAACTGAATGTGGGTCTGGAACACACAAACCTGAGATCAAGAGCCATGTGCTCTTCCAACTGAGCCAGCCAGGTGTCTCTCAGTTAAAACAAGCTTAAAAATGAATTAAAAATTTTTTTTTATTTATTTGACACAGAGAGCAAGTTCGAGCAGGGTGGAAAAGGCAGAAGGAGAGGGAGAAGCAGTCTCCCTGCTGAGCCAGAAACCTGATGTGGGTCTCAACATGGGGCTGGATCCCAGGATGGAGATCATGACCTGAGCCAAGGCAGATGCTTAACCATCTGAGCCACATAGGCGCCCCTTAAAAGTGAATTTAAATAATGTGCTAAATTGACACTCTTTAAGTCAGAAGTTGACTGTATAGCCTCTGTCAGAGTCTGTTAAAGATTTCACACTTAAAAGCTTTTGTTTAGGGGCACCTGGGTGGCTCAGTTGGTTAAGCACCTGCCTTGAGCTCAGGACATGACTCCAGGGTTTTGGGATTAACCCCCATGTTGTGCTTCCTGCTCAGCAGGGAATCTGCTTCTCCCTCTCCTGCTGCTCCCTGTGCTTGTGCTCTCTGTCAAATAAATAAATAAAATCTTAAAAAAAAAAACTTTTGTTTGCATGTGGATACATGCTACAGTGTCAATGATATTAAGGTTTTTCAGTATGATATTGTAATTAATAATAGTATCCTGTCAATAACCTAGATAATGGCTTTTGGGGGGAATGGAGGAATAAATTACGAACTGAAATTAGTGCTTATGTAGATTTTTCCCTTTGAAGTTTTTAACTTTTCATTGTTTTATGTAACCAAGTGATTTCTGTTTTTAAGAAACTAATGAGGGGGCACCTAGGTGGCTCAGTGGTTGAGCATCTGCCTTCGGCTCAGGGTGTGATCCTGGGGTCCTGGGATAGAGTCCTGCATAGGGTTCCCTACAGGGAGTCCGCTTCTCCCTCTGCCTATGTCTCTGCCTCTCTTTCTATGTCTCTCATGAATAAATAAATAAAATCTTAAAAAAATAGAAGTGCAACCAACTGGCATTGGGTCCTATAGAATGCTATGGTTTTAATTTTTTAAAAGATTTTTTATTCATGACACACACACACACACACACACACACACACACACAGTCAGAGACAAAGGCAGAGGGAGAAGCAGGTTTCTTGCAGGGAGCCTGATGCGAGACTCGATCCCTGGTCTCCAGGATCAGGCCCTGGGCTGAAGGCGGCGGTAAACTGCTGAGCCGCTACCTGGGCTGCTCAATGCTATGGTTTTATACCTAAGGTTAAAAAAAAAAAAATCTTACATCAAAGCTTCCATGATTGAATTAACCCAAGGTAGAAATGTAATCCTTTTGACGTAAGCCAATCTTAAATTACTATCAGCTGTTATATTATTCTAACTGAACTTCTAGAGTTAAAGTCAGTCATTTAATTATTGTATAGTTTGGAACATTGATTTGAGATGAACCTTCATTCTAGGTTGGAGGAAGGAACTGAATGAGAAAGTTGGATTTTTCCCCACTCATTAGGAGATTTAATTACTGTGTAGTTTGAATTTCATAAATTCATTAATAATTTGTAAGCTTTGTATAGAACAATTTTGTGGCTAGTTACATGGTTTTAGAAAGAGACATTCTTTCTTTTTTTTTTTTTTGAGACATACTTTCTTAAAAATACAAAAAAAAAATACATTGAGGGATGCCTGGGTGGCTCAGTAGTTGAGCGTCTGCCTTCAGCTCAGGGTGTGATCCTGGGGTCCTGGGATTGAGTCCTGCATCAGGCTATCTGTGGGGAGCCCACTTCTCCTGCGTATGTCTCTGCCTCTCTGTGTCTCTCATGAATAAATAAATAAATAAAAATCTTAAAAAAATACATTGAATCCATTTATCACAGCTAGCATCTTAAAATTTCATATAAGAGAAATTTGTCTGGCTGTCTGAGAAATGGTCTCTGAGTTAGAAGTCCTAGATCAAGACTCTAGAAGAAGGTAATTTCATTAGTTTACACGTCACTGCTATAACTCCTTTAATAAATTGTCTCTGTTTTAGAGAACACTGATAGCCTGCTATTAACTACTTCTGCACATTTTCTAGAGGGACGTCCTTGAACATCTGAATTTATTTCTCTTTCTCCATATCAAATAGCTAGAAGTTAATTTGATAGTTGTTGTCAATTGAAAGGTCAATCCTAGTTGAATATGAGGGTTTTTGAAATTATCTAGGTAAGGAAATTGTGAGTTGCAAAAAATAATTTTAAGTATTTTTTTAAGGAAATGCATCTGTGTCAAGTCAGGCACACTGTAAATGGTTCTTGAAACAATAAGATTTAAAAATCCATTTTGTAAATCCTTCCATGCTAGGGCTCATATCCCATATTTTCTCTTATTATCTGCCTGCTGTTAATCACATTTGAAATGATACATTTGCTTTGGTTTGTCAGCCAGTATTTGAACTTTTTCCATGTGCAGACATAGTTTCTATCATGCAGGAAAAAGAGATGGACTCCTGATTAAAACAGAAGGTAACAATCAAATGAATCAAATGAGTGCAGAGTAATAATGAATACTGCAGCTGACTGAAATCCACTGAGCTCCTTCTCCAGAGTAGTTTTAACATGTTTCTAAAGCTCCCTTTCCCTACAGGTAGCCTCACTGGGAAAGGAGAAGACCAGGTTTTGTAACCAGTGAGACACTCCCTGTGGTGCCTCACGGAATAACATTGTAACCATGCTGTTGAGGAGAGGTGTGGAAAATTAAAAATACCTTGTAAAAATTATTTGAGGCATAAGTAAAAGTTAGTCTTTTTTTTTAATTAAAAAAGGCTTTATTCTGTAATCACTGAGCTATATTTGTTATCTTTCTCTGTCTTCTTATGTTTCCATGGCATTTTATACTTCTATTTATTTTAAGTAAACTGTGGGCAGTTTTTTTGGTTTGTGTTAGGAATTAGATTACCCCTGAAAGACAGTCTGTATTTCTTCAAGGAAATTTTTTTTTTTTTTTAGAGAGTGAGAGCAAGCAGGCACAAGTTTAGGGGATGTGGGTAGGGGCAGAGGCCAAGATAGAGGAAGAGAATCTCAGGTAGACAGACTGTGCACTGACTTGATCTCATGACCCTGAGATCATGACCTGAGCTGAAATCAAGTGTTG